ACCCGGATCCCGAGGCTACGCCGGCGAGCACGGCGCGGGGGGCGGGGAGCGGGCAGGGGGCCCGCCCGGCCCAAGCGATTGTTTCCTCGCCCAGCAAAGACATTTTTTATCAAGCCCCTTTTGTATTCGAGCCCTACCTCTTTTTGGCCTAGGAAAGCTTTCGTGCAAGTGGAAGACGACTTTCTCCACAAAGTGCTGTATGTTACTGTGCTCCGGACCGCGCACGAACACCATCCAGTCGTGGGTGAAGCCCTCCACGGTGGGTTTTTTCCTCACCTGGGCGCGGTGCCCCAGCTCCAGCTTCACCTGCACGGCACACTGCGGGCAGGGGGAGGAGAGACAGCGGTGAACGACAGGAAGGCGATCGTTCGGCGCTGAACATTGCGCCTGACATTTTTTTTCCTCCTTCTTGAAATGCACATAAAAGGAACCGGCGGTGCCCTCTGCATCCACGTTCCACGAGCGTGGGCGCGCACACCCCACGCCCCCAAATACACCCCGCCCGGCCGGCCCGGCCCCAGGCGCCTTGGGCCCCGCATCCACACCCGCCAGGACTGTAACGGAATGTTACCCCCAGTCAGGAAGGGGGTCGGGGGGGGAAAAGGCAGAACACACTCAAGCCACGACAATCACGACAACAAATACATCGGAAACAAATTAGAAGACAATTAGGAGGCGATGCCGGGGCGGTTTCCCGGCGTGGGAGGGGAGGTGGCTGGGGGCTTCTGATGAGCCCCCTCCCCGACAGTATCGAGGCGACAGGCACACGCCGAGGAAGTCTTTGTGTACGTGTGTGTGTGCGTGCGTGTGCAGCGCTGTGCCAGGCGGAATGGAAACTACAGGCAGCCTCTGCTGATGGGCACAAACTCCCGTGCTCTTACCACGGGGTTTGTGTACTACAAAAATGAGACGTCGTCACACACACACACCCACACACACACAGACACACACAGACGCCCGCAGGAAAACACGCCGAGGCATCCATAACTTAAAGCGCCCCGCACCCCCCAGCGAAAAGCCCCACGCGATCGGCGAGGCCAGCCGAACACAGCCCCCGCAACACACTTCGAAGAGCCAAAGTGGCGTAATAACTTCGTATAGCATACATTATACGAAGTTATACGATTGTGCAATTATGCCACTAATTTCCCAATTTCTATGATATCTCTTTTGAAGATTCAAACCACTAAGAGATAAAACACAAGAAAAGTTACATCTTAGTATAGCAAAAGCTATGTTAAGTAGAGAGGATCATCTGTAATAAATGACTAAAAAAAGAGAAAAGGAGCCAGGGTTGGTCCATGGAAGACCCATTGGAAGGAAGTTTCAAAGAACCTAGAGAAAAATCTTTAAGGCAAAATTATCAAGTCAAATGATACCCCTGCCCTGCCTACTTCAGAGTTAGCTCTACAGAAGGCCACCTAAAATAACAGATACAAAAGACCTCTGCATAATATAGATAATACACCAGTAGAATGCACAGTGATATTAACTACAAAATATATCCAGTAAAACCCAAGTTTAGACTATCCTTTTCTGGGGGGAAAAAAAAATTGTTACACAGGAATTTATCGAGGCAAATACTTTGAAAGACCTATCTTTTCTCTTTGCATTAAATGAATGTTTTCATTAGCACCAATAATAATGGTTAAAAAAAAAAATGTCAGTTTCATGTATTGGGCAATTTATTCATGCCACATCATATGCTGAATATGTTATATCAGCAGTCCCCAGGTTGTAGTCTGGGGGTTCTCAGAGTGTAAAGGCGATCATCAAAGGTAAAACTATTTTCGTAATATACCTATGATGTTATTTGCCTTTTTCCTTCTCATTCTCTCATGAGTATACAGTGGAGTTTTCCAGAGACTACATGATGTGTGATAACACAACAGACTGAATACAGAAGCAGATAAGAGGACCCAGATGTCTTCTATTAAACCAGACATTAAAGAGATTTGCAAAAAAAAAAAAAAAGAAAGAAAGAAAAGAAAAGAAAAAAAGTAAACAATGCCACTTTTCTCACTAATTTTTTTTTTTATTTAGAAAGTATTCATTTTTCATTGAAATGGCATTTATATGTTAACATGTAATGGGCTCATTATTAACTTTAAACAAATTAAAATGTCTCAGTTTTAATACAGTAAAATTAATAGGTATAACTTACATAGAAAAGCTCTTTGGGGTATTCAATTTGTAAGAGTGTAAAGGGGTCTTAAGCCCAATAACTTTGAGAATAGCTGATTTATATTTTATCTTCAACTTGCCCAAGATCGCAAGGAATTTTTACACCAGCAATTGAATAAAAGTCTGTAATTCCTGACTCGAACTTCTCTTCATCATTAAGCATCTATCCAAAATAAAGATCACTTTTAGATAGCTACACACTAATTCCTGCCAAAAAGGCAATATTCTATCTCGGTTCTTTATTCTTTCAGTCTTAAAACAGGGCTGCTCGCCGCGTCCCCGGACTGTGCCCGCAGCTCCCGGCGGCGGCGGCGGCTGAAATATGGCTGAGTTATTATTCGCCTCCTTCCACCGTGTGTGAGTGTGTGTGAGTGCGCGCGTGTGAGCGAGAGGGAGTGTGCGAGTGCGCTTCTTGTGATTGCAAAGAGGCGAGCAGGGAGGGAGGCGCGGGGGGTGGAGGGGCGAGTGTGAGTGTGTGTGTGGGTCTGTGTGTGTGCGCGCGCGCCGGGGGGGTGGGGAAGGAGGGGAGCGGAGGCTGAGGGAGAGGCAGCAGCTCCCTGCGAGCCGTACCAACCTTTCTCTAATTGGAACCGCGGAGCGCTGGCGCTGTCTGGGCTGCGGCGACGGCGCAGGGCGAGGGAGGAAAGGGGGGGAGGTCTTTTATTATTTTTTTTTTGCAAGTACTTACCGAGCTAGCCATGCCTGGGGGCCCGGAGGTTTGCCGGGGTGTTGTGTGGTACCCCCCCTCCCCACCCCCCCTCAGCTGTAATTCATGAAGAGGCTGCTATGAATGAGAGCGCGCCCAGAAGCGGAGGGTAGATGGCGGACATTCTCTGCCTTTTTCCCCCCGCGCTCGCTTGCTCGCTTGCTCGCTCGCTCGCTTGCTTATTAAACTCAGCCCCAAAAGCAAAAGCAGCAGCGGCAGCAGCAGCTCCAGGGCCAGAGGATGATTCCGGAGCATGCGCCGAGGCGCCTGACACCCGGGCTCCGAGCCTCACGGGGCGGAGGGAGGGCGCGCGGGCGGGGCGGAGCGCGCGGGGAGGCCGAGCGAGCGAGCCAGGGGGAGCTCGAAAGAGCCAATCACCGGCCGCCTTCCGAAACCCCGGCGGCCCGCAGCGCCACACTGGAACTCCTCGCTTAAAGTAACAGGTTCCTGCTGGGGGGGTGGGAGGGAAGGGCTGCTGGAGTGGGGACAGCGGCCGGCTGCGGAGCCGTCCCGGCCCCTGTGTAAACTCCGTTCGCCCTACAATAAAAAACGGATTAAAACTGCCGGAATGCAGCCACTGCCTAGAGTCCCCAGCAGCAGGAGAAGGGCTGCTAAATCAGGTCTTCGGCGTTAGTTAGCTCGCACGGGGAGGGAGAGCGCGCTTTCTTTTACTTTCCACCACGTATTTGTGTGGTTTTGTGCTGAAAAGGCAAGAACTCACACCCAAACAAACTTATTTAAAGAAAGCTAGAGAAATGCCACCCTGCAGAAACAAGCTTCAAAATAGCAATCGCCGAGACTGTTACAACCCGCAACAGTCCCATCCCCTCAAGCGCCCGCCCACCACCCTCACTCCCCGTCCTTCTGCCACCGCCACCGAAACTTTAAAAACGAAATGAACAAGAGAGAAACAAAAAAGCTATTTCTTTCCAAGGGAACGCCTCCCGCGGTGGTAATCCCCGGCTGGGAAGCCTCACAAAGAGGTGCCCAGGTGAAGGCGAGACACCTGGGAGCGCCGCGTGCAGACCCTCGGGGACCAGGCCTAGAGCTGTTTTCTTCGGGAGGCTTGCCCTGCTGCCAGCCTGCTGGGTTGCATCAGAACGTGGAGGATTGTCCTCTGAGGACGCGCGGGGCAACTGGGAGTCTTAAAATAGCAGATCAAGTTAATACTGACTGTAATGTGCATAAATTGGATTATAATCTTTAGACGTATTGGTGACAGCCAACGTAATCCATCTCTGGGTATTAATCCGGTTAGGCTCCCGGGTGACAACTAGTCGCAGGAGCGTTCCCGGAGTCGCACTCCTGCAAATGTTCCCACTCGGCTTGTATTTAGTCTCAGTGGCCGGGGATAGAATAGCGCGGCCACGCGTGGGGCGCGGGGAGTATGGACGAGCTTCCTTTAGAGACGCAACCTTCAAAAAGGAAACAGATAAGATCTAGACGATTGATTTGAAAGTGAAAGATGGGTGTGACTTTGGTTCGTTACATAAAGATCCTCGCATCCTCCTAGCCCTCGTTGCTTCTTTTGCTGTCTTTCTTTTCTTCACCCCCCTTTTTCCCTCGCCTCCCAACTTCTTTCTGAACTTTTCCTTTGCTTCTCTTCTCCCTGCCTTCCCTCTTTACTTACCTTTCGTCCTCTTTCTGATTTAACTATCTTGCATTCCTCTTTTCCCTTTTCTTTGTTAAAAACCACGAAAGCAAATTGTCTCGGCCCTAGCATTGAGGAGAGCAGAACAGCGGGAAGGAGGTTACCTGGGGCGTCTGGGGTCCTCGCTGCTAATTTTCAGGTCTCCCAGCTGCTCATAAAAACATAATGGGAATCAGGTCGGACCACTTCGAGCCAATTTAATTTCCAAGCCAGCAAGCTTCCAACTCAAGTAGTTTAATCCCCTAAAACTGATGCTCTGTTCTCCCTCATTTACATCCAAGAAACTTCTTTAGGTTGAGGACCCCAATTCTTCCCACCCTTCTACAGGATTTAACATAGAATGAAACAAACCACTGAGGGGAGAAACATTTTAATCCAAGCCCCAGGGTGTAGATTCCTCAACTGACACACTTGTACATAATGCATATCATCTTGTAGGTATACGTGTAGCTGTGTCTCCGTGTGTGCATAAGGACCATGTTTATATACACATAGACACGCTGTATGTGTGTAGTATCTACCCGAACGGTGAACCTATTTGCTGTACATTACTAAACTTTTGATAAAATAATCAAACTGGAGAGAAGTCCTTTGGAGTAAGATTATAAACTGAACGTTATTTGAGTGTGTCATTAGTAAAGCCATTTCCTATCAAGCGGTAGCCATTGGCAGTGACTGTAACTTAGGACTGTTTGAGTTGATTTCAGGGTTAGGCTAACTTCTTCCAATGCCAGCTGCCGGACTTCTTGGGATTCTCTCCAAAACTTGTACTCGCGCCAGGGACTGGTGTCTCCTTTTTGAGTTATGTGTTTACTGAATTCAGATTTATTCCAGCAATCACAAATAAGCCATACAGTCAGAAAGAGCCTTTTCCCAATACCCGTCCTTTCTCATAGAATGCTTTAAAAATCAAATGTACGGTAATTCCCAATCTCGAGACACTGGAAATTTAGATTCTGTCAGTAGATGGCGCACGGAGCCCTTCCACAGACGTCCTTACGTGACCCCCTTTACAACAGAAAGAGGAAAGGGAGAAAAGAAAAGAAAACAGAACCCTCAATACTATAGATCCAACTTTGCACAAAGGAATTTATTCCAACCTTTCAATTTATTGGTTATTTTATAAGCTTGCTATTAAAACCAATCGAAATAGGAATAACAGATTAATTTCCTATTCAGCAAATCTAATGATCTTCATACTAAGTGAGGTACAAGTGTGAAAAACAATCTTCTGAATACTTGACACTGGAATTATAGGAAATGTATTGCAAACAAACTTTAAGACAAACTTCAATGCTAACTACAGAATAATAATAACAATAATTACAATGGAAGTGATGAGGGATAAAACCATCTACATATCCAAAGAGTAATTATCTTACCAAAAATTATACTGTACTATGTAGCACAGTATGATGTACCATGGAGTTAGTTTGAAGAGCAGAAAGGAAAAGCAATTGACACCATATCAAATAAAAATCATGATGAAGAATAAGAGGACAGTGTGTGTGACAGATCGTCACTTCTCATCACTACCATCACCAAAATCACCACTGCCCTAACCAGCATCATTTTGGCTCCGAAGAGCAGAAAGGAAAAGCAATTGACACCATATCAAATAAAAATCATGATGAAGAATAAGAGCACAGTGTGTGTGACAGATCGTCACTTCTCATCACTACCATCACCAAAATCACCAACTGCCCTAACCAGCATCATTTTGGCTCCGACATTTTTATTTGCAGTTGTTTTGTTTAGTTTGGAAGCTGAGGCCAGTTTGAATGTTTCTATCAGAAAAAAAAAAGAGAGCCTTTAAAATGTAATGAGAGTATTAAGGAGCACCCTAAAATAAATTTTATATATTTGTTTTGATAGATTATTGATGCACGAACTCAAATAATCAAATCAATAAAAATTAACCATTGCCCATCCTTTGCTGTATGGATTTGGGGGGAAGGGAAAGAAGATGCATGGGGAAAAAAATATAGACAATGGGACAGACACTAAGGAGACATTTTGCAAAAACTAGAATAATTAAGGAGTTTTTCCCTATATGGTGCATTTTTTCTGTATACTTCATCCATGTGTTTATTCATCAAAACCATTCCATGTGTCAGGCACAGAGTTAGGCTCCAAGAATATAAGAATAACAGAGTTTCTGCTGTCACAGAGTTTGTAACCAGGGGAGACATTTTTACCGAAACCATTCTTTTCTTTCTTTTTTTAAATTTCACAATACCTAAATTTGAGATAAAGATGTGTGTCACATATAAGCAAGTAGCATAGTAATCTGACAGGAACAGTCTAAGGACAAGAAAAACAGTGGCACAAGATTAGAAGAATACAGGAGTGATTGCCCTCAATTCCACCTTATAATACGTAAAGAGGGGTGGGCAGACATCTTTCTTACAACAGCAGCCAATTTCTAATTTCCTTTTGCTTGATCTGAAGTATTTTCCATGTTCACCTTATTACAGCTCTTTTAAGGAAAAAAACACTCAATAAAAGAAAGCTAAGTCTTTTCAAGATCATGAGCATATTCTCTCAGTTGAAATGGTCTCACCGTTTCTTATGGAAATTTTTGGTTCAAAATGTTACATGTTTAACATTATATTTAATTCATGATTCTAGGATAGTGTGTTGGGAACATCACAATGTTAAGAATCATTAGTACTTTGAAAAAAAAATTGCTTTGATATCCATTTAAACACCTAGTCCAGTACTATTTCCAGAGATAAGAAATACACAGAGCTTTTTTAACCACTAGAGCCTCTTCATGTGTAAATTATTCCCTGAAAGTAATTTAGGCAATGCACTTATACATTCAGAGACAAGAGTGCCTCCACAGTAATAATTTATTAATTTAGTGGGTGGTATCCCTAATTTAATAAATAGAACCTCAAGGCCTGAAAATTAATCAAGGGTGTTATGTAAGACCAGCAATATGAAACAAGATAAATATTTGGGGCCAGTTGATATAATGTGATTGAAAATGTCTCCTAACATACACAGAAATCTCAGTGGAATAGTTATAGGTAAAATACATATTAAATTGAAACTGCTTGCTGTAAAACAATCTATCTAAAAGCTAGACCATTTTACTATATTTTTATGTATCTCTAGCATCTCTTCAAAGGCCACTGTACAATTTTCCATCTTTCTTTATATCACAACTTGACCTTTTGGTTTTCAGTGCAAATTCTGATTATTTTCAAATATGAGTTCATCTCTCTCATTCACATACATAATGAATCAGGAGTTAAAAATAATCACTTTATCCTAAAATCATAAACTATATTTTGCCTTATTTGGTAAAAATGGAAAAATAATTTATCAGGCTTATGAACAAATGTAGACAGCTCAAACTTCAATTAAAACTGCAAAAAAAAAAAAAATTAGGAAGAAGAAATTACTTCCTTCCTTATCAGGCTTATGAACAAATGTAGACAGCTCAAACTTCAATTAAAACTGCAAAAAAAAAAATTAGGAAGAAGAAATTACTTCCTTCAATCTACTAAATGGTGCGATAGTAGTTTGAAAATAACACTAAGCCTCTAAGAAGTGAGTGATTTATT